TCACCCTTCGCGGTGGGCACTACTGGTGCCATTGTCCTAGGAGACACACGGTCAGCAGGGAAATGACTTCACTTCTGCGCCACAGACCTCGCACTCTCCACCTTGCTCCTTGGGGGGCCCTGGCGCCTGCCCCTGCCCCTCAGGCGCCTGGGCTGGGATGGCCACGCTGGCCTTTGGGCCACAGCAGGGGCTGCTCAGTCCTTCCTCAAAAGCACTGGTTTCTCTCCACATGGGTTCGAGCACTTCCAAGGATTTGCTTCCTCAAGCATCACAGCTGGGGCAGGAAAGGCAAATCATTCCTTGCCCTGGGATGAAGTTTCTTCTTGCCAGGCAAAGGGGCGGCTGGAGGGAGATGCCAATGCCCCGGGCTCACCACCCATGCGGCTGGCCGTCCCATGTTCTGGGAGTGCAGAACCATGATATCAAGCAGCCTCCGTTGCACGGCTTTTCCATGAGATAGGAGCGAGCCAATTTATCACGATCGAGGCCTTCCACTGGGCTTATATTGCCATTAAGCTATCAACAGGAGATCATTAGGTGAGGCAAGACACCAACCGGTAACTGAGAAGAAATGATTTTTAGCAAACATCCTGCTGGCACCCTCCTCCGCGGGGCTGTCAGCTTCGACGACCTGGAGCTGGGTCTCGCAGCTTTGTGTGGATGTGCAGCTGGTGGTGGGGAGAACTCAGGCCCTGGCATTCGCAACCCAGTGGCTGTGCCCAGGTTCCTTGCTTCTCTCTCCGCAGGGCAAGCTGCATGACGATAAACAGGAGGGGAACGTGCATGCATTCGTGTGATAAAACAGGCTTAATGATTCTGAAGGGGAAGGCGTCCACGAGACATACAGTAGCAACTCGGGAACAAAATGGAACCGTGCAGGGCCAATTAATGTGCAAATATGTGTGTGCTGAACTTGCATCCCATTCATCATGTGGACATGGAAATTGGGCCATTTATCTGTTATATTATGTATGTGACATCTTAGTTTGGTTCTTACAGGCTGCTCTGGGACAAAGGGCCATGTGCTTTGCGGCGAGCAGAGGGAATTGAAGATAAATTCTTCAGCTGTCATAAGCATTGCCGGGCAGAATTGGTCAGAAGATAAAGCTCTTTCCTCTGCAGGGCTTGAACATTTCTCAACAGTGCTCGTGCCATCTTATTAGAACGGTGTGTGGTGCAGGGAGGGCGGCATATGCCATGAAAAATCACTGGCACAAACAGCACACTGTTGTGTTTTCAAAGTCCAGATTTAGCAACCGTTATTCACATAGCCGCTGTCAGTCTGCAGAGAGAAAGCAAAGCGGCAACACTATCCATCCTCTCGAGTCTGAGGCTTTGTAATTCTTCTTGTCTCCCTTTAACCAATGGCTCCTCCACAGGTGGGGTTTGTTCTGTTTAAACTACAACTGTTTGTACTTAGGGGAAAAGTCACAGGAGGAGCAGAGGGACCTCGGAGGAGCGCTTTCGCAGAAACACTATTATTTACCTAACAGGACCTGCCATGAATACGGATTGGATGTTGCTTTGATGAATTACCATTAGAAATTCAATTAATAAAAGGTTACCTCCCTGCAGTAGTGCAAAAAAAATATGATCTGGCTGCAGCATATACAATTTAGCATGAGAAACAATGGGCAGGAGAATGAAAATGTGTTTTCGAAAACTGTTCCATCTGGGAAAGAGGAATTTGGGTTAAAAATGAATGAATGGGTGAATGACTGAATGAGTTGGTGGGTGAATGAGTGATTGATGGGTGAATGAGTGGGTGAGTGAACGAACGAAGGAGTGAATGAGCGAATGAACACATGAATGAATGAATGGCTGGGTGAGTGAATGGATGAGTGAGCTTAGGTTAATGGTGAGCAGCCTGGTCTCTACTGAGCTTTCCCACACTTCTACTTTACCACTTCTCCCACTCGATCATCTTTTTTCACTGTCCTGTTTCGTGCTCTGCGTTATCACCATGCTTAGTTGGGGCCAAGCAGCCTTCCCCATGCATGAGTGGCCCTCTGCAGTCCTGCACGCTTAAGGGGAAGCACGGCTTCTGAGAACTGCGTAATGTGGCAATTCGGCCACCCTGTGGCTATTATGGGGTGCAAGAACACGTGCCTCAGGGTGGAGCCTGCAGCACAGCCACCCACGGCCCAGCCTGCTGGGAAGACCAGCACTGTGACCCCGTCCGCCACTGCCCAGAGTGCTAAGTGACACGTGGCTACCGAGCGCCCGCGTCTTAGAAGTGGAGCTTCTTAAGGATGAGCAATGGCCGCCAAGGGCCACTTCTGGAGATGTGCTGCGCCCCTCCATCCGGTGAGGGCTCCTGTGCCCCCGAGTTAGTCAACATCCCCCAGGGGCTACTCTGATCTCCAGAGACCAGGGCTGTTTGCACTTGTGTGTCAGTGGAACCATGCAGGATATATATGTTGCTGGAACTTGGTTTTCTATTTCCTATTGTGCCTCTGAGATCCACGAGGCTCTCTTCTGTCCACAGGTGTTTCTTTTTGATTGCTGTCTTATATTCCACCGCAGGAACATGTCGCAATTTATTATCCTGCTAGGGATATTGTTTTGTCTCCAGTTTGGAGCTATAACAAGCATCTATGAAAATTCTTCCATGTGAATTTAGAGGACACAGCATTCATTTTGGGGGTGCACACAAGTGGGAACAAAATTGCTAGATCATTAAGCATTATTGTGCCAGTGTTAAAACCATTTCAGCCTTCTAAAGCTACTTTTTTAAATCTGCAAAGGGTGATAAATATCCTGCCGTATGCGATTTCCGTGAAATAGAAAAGGAGCACATGGGTAAAGGTGTTTTATTGTTGACGGATTATTCTGCCAAGCACAGCACCAACGCGAGGCTGTGTCCACAAGAAAGACGACAGAAGCTCACAGAACAGCGGCATCAGGGCGGTGGCCGCAGAGGCCCAGGACAGAGTCAGGCGAGCTCCAGAAGGCAGCGCGAGCCCTGGGAGAGTGACTGGACACCTCCCAGGCTCCAGGTTGGTTGCTGGTGGTGTGTGTGCTCCGGCGCGTATGTCTGAGTATTCCCAAATTCATACCCTGGAAACCTAGCCCCTGGGGAAGGTATGGGAGGCAGGTTTTGGGGAGGTGGTAGGTGGTGAATGTGGGGCTCTCTGAATGGGATTAGCGCCCTACCATGAGCACACAGGAAGACGAGGCAGCAAGGGAGCCCGCTCCTGTCGCACCGCCTGCACCGCGGCTCAGCCTCCAGCAAGTGGCTGTGCCCTAAGCCCAGAGTCGACATGCCTGTTACAGCAGCCTGGTCCAGACGCTCGCCCTGTCCCCGGGGGGCAGCCCGCACCCCAGCTCACCCCCCGGAAGGGCAAGGCCCGGAAAAAAGCCAACCCCCCCGGCCTGGGCCGCTCCGGCCAGGCACAGGCCGTCCCAGGGCCTCGTCCACGCAGGCTGCGTGTGAGCGGCTCCCGAGGGGTCACCCACACGGAGATGTGCTCTAGTCACGCGGCCCTGGGCATCCGAGCCTCAACAAGCCGTGCGATGAGCACAGCTGTTCTCTCTGAAGGGACGAGGTACTGGGGTTGCTGCGGGACTCCTAGCGTTTGGTCCCCGCCATGAGGAGCAGGCGGCGCTGGAGCACCTCCCTCCTCCCTGCCCGCCAGCTACCTCGGTCACATTCCCACTGCCAGTCAGCACAGCTCCTGCACAGCGCAGGAGGCCCGGCAACCCTGCCGGGGACACAGACATCCCAGAGAGGAGGGAACCTGGGCCTCAGGTTCTCCTTTGGTCAAATAATCAACATCAGGCAGATTCTTAGGCAAAAAATATAGTTGAGTCACGCCGGTATCTCAAAGGTAACGCGGGTCCCTGCGGTAAGCTAGGAATGGGGCGGGGCCTGGACTTCGGGGCGGGGCCTAGGATTCCGGGGCTGGGCCTGGGCTTAGGGCCATGGCATGGGCTTCAGGGGCGGGGCCTGGGCTCTGGGGCGGGGCTTAGGATTCCGGGGCGGGGCCTGAGCTTCAGGGGCGGGGCCTGGGCTTAGGGCCATGACCTGGGCTTCAGGGGCGGAGCCTGGGCTTTGGGGCGGGGCCTAGGATTCAGGGGTAGGGCCTGGGCTTCGGGGAGGGGCCTGGGCCTCACAGGACAGGGCCAGAGGCTGCCTTTCCAGGACAGGCTTCTCCCCGGGAAGAGTTCTCCAATGTAGCGGTTCTCTCTGGCAATATCCCTGGCTATGGGTCAGGGCCACGGTGTTTATTCTCCCAGGAGTTAAAGGCGTGCGAAGTTCCTCCTGTGTCTGCAGGGCCTCGGGGATTTCAGCTATAAAGAACCCCCTGACGAATCTGGCAGTCTTGGGGAGTCACTGGGGCCACCCCTTTGACAATCCTCTACGTCTTGTATGGCATTGCCAGGCTCTCCCTCCACACCCCCTGCTTCATCTGGCCGTCCCAGCCATCACGTGCTGATCAAGACAGAATTCTCCCCGCAGACCCAGGGTCAGCATGCGGCCACTGTGCCCCCACCCGGCTCCGGGCTCCGGCTCTCCCCACACAGTAACTGGGCCCGGAGGGCTCCTTCCCCCCACCGTGTCTTCAAGGTGCCGCAAAGAGTTGCCAGGTGTGACTCCCCGTGGACTGTGACTTGCTAGAGACCTCTGAGCAGCGCATGTCCGCCCCAGACGCCTCATAGTGCTCCCGAGGGGCCAGGGGAGTTGGGGGCGGGGGGAGAAGGGGGCAGCACAGAGCAGAGGCGACCTCCAATCCTCGAAAACGGCGCGCGCGCAGCACAAGCAAGCAGGAGCCGGGCAAGTGACCTCAGCCTTCTTAACCAGGCTCCTGGGCGCGACCCCAGCCTGCCTGAGCCATCGGCCAGTCCCGAACCCAGCACCACGGAGACCCACTGACCACACACCATCCACACCCACGAGGCGGTCTAGAGGAGAGCTAAGTGGACGCCCACGTCTCCTCATCACAAAGAAAACCACTTCAAAATGTCCTCCAGAGGAGCCACAAAAGCACAATTCCTACCTCAGTGTCGCTGGCAGACAGGCTGGCGGCAACCTGCAAGTGAGAGGAAAATGACATTAGTATTGAGCCGCGAGGTGATTGGATTAATTGTCTCTCCAAAGGAACTGGCATGATAATCCGTTAGGACCCAGGGGCCAATGGGTACCATGCAAGTAGACACACTCCCACACAAAATGCACACACATGCCTGCACACGCACACACGCACCATGCACACACACCGCACACCCCCACAAGGCATACCCCTGCACACACCCCCACCCACACCCTCGGTCACGTGAACATGCACACAACATGCACACACCTGCAAATACACATGAGCACTCACAACGCACCGTGCACACCTGCATGTGTGCACACAACCGTCACTTGCATGAATACACACAACACACGCCTGCACACACCTGCAGGTGCACAAGCACACACAGTCACACACCGCGCACACCCGCGTGTGCACAGGTGTGTTGTAACACACCTGTGTGTCATGCCCACGTTCGCACCGTGCGCACACACACACCCCTATACACACAGTGCTGTTGTTGCTTCTCCCAAGCACTGAATCAATTTGATTTTCCAGTTCTGTGTATAAGGTGAAGAGGATAATTAATATTTTCAACACATTATAACAATCTTGCAGGGAAAAGAGGGGGTGGGCTGCGTGTGGTGCCGGGCACAGATAATGCTTAATGAACACTGGAAAAGCGAAGGCATTCGAGACATTTTGGTGGTTTTTTCCTTCAAGTTTCAAGTCAGTTTATGATAAGCTCTGGGAAAAAAACCTGCAACTAGTGACAACAACCTTCTTTGTTCAAAACGCCTAAAAATATCACGAAATAAAGAGTCGTGGCAAGTTCTGACATTTATCGTCTTATTTAATTCCAGAAACACTTTTATTGCCCCCACTGCATAAATGACAACCATAGGCTTAGAGAAGCTAAATCATTTCCCAAGTCCAGAGCGATAAAGGCGAGGAAGTATATTCAAACCCAGAGAAGTCGGCCAGATGTCCAAGCACCGAGTCACTAGGCCGTCCTGCATCACTGGCCTTCACGGGGACCTGCCCCTGCCACCACGCTCAGGTGGCGCTACGGGTCTCCTATCTAAAAGCAGGTGAGTTGTTTGTTTTTCCTGATCAAGCCAGGGGGACTTCAGGAGGCCATCAAGCTGAGACAGATCACGAGAGGGGCCCTGTGGTGGGATCAGTGCTCCTACAGGCTCATGCGCGTGTCCCATCGCTCTCTGCTTCTCTAGATCAAATTCTCGCTCACTCTCTCTCCCCTGCTCCCCAACCATGCAAGGAGGGGAGGCCAGTGCGAAGGCAGCATCCTCAAAACAGGGAAGCAAAAGTAAAAATAAGCAAGTGAGACTATAGCAAATTTCGGCATTTCTGCACAGAGAAAGAAAATCCATGCACAGGGTGAAAACACACCCTACTGAACGGGAGAGGATATTCTCACAGCATACATCCAACAAGGGGCTAATATCCAGGCTCATGAAGTCTCACACCATTCAAAGACTGCAAATCCGAACAGCCCGGTCACAAAAACGAGGAGATCTGAATAGACACTTCTCCAAAGGACGCACAGAAGCCTGACGGGCATGAGGGAAGTGCTCACCATCATTTATTATCAGGTAGACATAGGCAAAACCACAACGAGGTCATTTTGCCCTGTGAGAATGGCTTACATCGGGAAGTAACGAGTGCTGGGACTGATAGGAAGAAAGAGGAACACCTGTCTCTGTTGGGAGTGTTAATTAGTACTGACATTTTTGGAAAGCAGGTACCTCAACATTTTAAAAATAGAACTATTGTAAAGACTGGCCATCCGCCCTTGGGTATCTATCTGGAGAATATGCAATCGTTAACTCAAAGAGACACATGCACCCCAATGTTTATTGCAGCATGATTCACAATAGCAAGATATGGAAACACCTCATTGCCCATTGCTAGATGAACAGATCAGAAGATATGGTGTTAATATGCAATGGAATATTACTCAGCCATAAAAAATGATGACATTTTTGTCTTCAGACAAATAGTAGGTGATATCTCCTACATGTGGACTAGAAGAAAGTGAAGAACAGATAGAACTAAACTGATGGACCTTGATAACAAAACTCAAGTTACTAGATGGGGAGATAGTAGGAGGGGTCTAATGGGTGATGGGGGGTAATCGTATTTATTAATAACAATAAATTACATTTATATATTTTTTTATTTTGCTTAATAAAAATTAATAGCTGACCCTGGAGGGAGAATACAAGGATACAGAGCCCAAAGAGAGTGTATACCAGGCATCGACTCTGCTGGTCTCCTAATCTCCAAAACTAAGGAATAAACCCCCATTGTTGAATCTACCCCATCCACGTGCTTGGCTATGGCAGTCCAAGCTGAGACATGGATCCCAGCAGCTCACAGCCTCGAGTCCCACAAAGCCCCTGTACCTCACGCTGGCCTGGCTTCCTGCACGGCCTCTCCCCCACAAGCGCCTGCCTGTGGCTGGCCAGCCTCCACTCGAGCCCGGGAGTCGCTCAGACAGAGCTCGCTGCCCCTGCGCCGATTTCATGGCTCATTAGCCTCCTAAACGGGAGGCCAGGCTTCAGGCTGACCTCTGGTGAGAGTCCATTAGCTGTGTGACCCACGCCTGGCCCTGGAGGGGGTTTCCAGGTGTGATGAATGTCAGGGGCATCGGGAAGTCTGTGTGTCCCCCTCTCCTTTCAGAGCGGGGGCTGAGGGGGAGGGGTAGCGGCTCCCAAGCCAGGGGCTATAGGCCCCTCGGCCACACAACCCCAGGGGGTGTGCACACTGCACCCCCTGATGAGACACAGCAGGGGTGTAAGGCTGAGCAGGGTGTCCAGTGGTGACAGGTCTTAGCACGACTCGGGGAGCGGCTCGGGGAGCGTAAGGATGGCAGGTGCCAGCTGACTCCTCCGACTTCCTCCACTTCGTCACTCAGAGCCCGTCTCTGGCTTTGTGTATCTGAGGTCATGCAATCCGTCTCATCACGCTGTCTGAGCAAACCACGTCTTTCATCTACTTTCGATAAACAGGCACACACGCCGGCGAGGCTAGATGGCAATTCATCAGCTCGTCGCAGTACTGCACGGAACACTACGTTTCCAGAAGAAACGTCCTTAAGTTCACAGATAAGGGGATGGAGAAGAAGCGAAGTTGGGACCCCCAGCGCTGACGGCATAGAGTGGGCCACCTGTCAGACGTCGGGGCGTGGTGGGGCCTGTGGGGAGCTGGAGACTGCCTGTTCACCTGGGCCGTTTGCCACCCTCTTAGGACAGGCAAAACGGGGATCCTGCCGAAGAACACGCATCTGCGGTCTGGGTGTGGCTCCTGGACGCCCCGTGTATGGTCCTCTGAGCCAGATCAACGATGACACTTCCATATTCTAAAATCTTGCGCCTCGGTGATGCTGACTGGGGCGGTGCCTGGTGTGCCGCTGTGAAAAGCTCTTCAACATGGACTGTTAATGAGAGGGAAATCTCGAAGAGGATAAATAATGTGTGACTACATTAGCCAATCCTCCTCCCGGGCCTCCCTCTCCTCCCACCCCAGGAACAATGTCTGAAAAGCAAGATGACAGAAGCTTTACCTCCCAGGAGGAGATTGGAACTTGACTGGGACCTGATGGATTGAAGGTCATGGGGAAGTTGCTTTTTCTGAATTGTAATTTTTCATTGAGATTGTATCCATGTATTATTTGCCACATTAAATGCAAAACTAAATTTTGAGGAAAGAGGCTTCCCCCTGCCCCAGCGCTACAAGGAGAGAATAGAGCCATGTTGGCTTTTTTTGCTCATTGAAGAGGAGGCTGAAAAACTGCCCCAACCCTTCTGATGCAGAGCGGAAGGTGGGCCAAGTGGTGATGCAATAGGGAGCGGTGTGGCTTGCGGCCAGTCATTTCATGGATGACTTACCACACCCTATTCCAGACAAATACAGGAAAAGCTAAGAGTGACCTCTGCGGAGGGACGCTTGGTAGCCGGTGCTCTCGCACCGCATCGTGGCGAGTTTGGCCGTCCTCGCCCATTGGTTTTTAGCGCCGACACACACCGCTGGGGGCTACTCAGGACCGCGGCACCTGCCGCCTCACACGTCACCCGCCGTGGCGCGTCGGGCAGTGCCCAAGCTGGCAGAGGCCGGCCAGCGGAGAAAGCGGGCTCGCTCCGGGCGCAGACTCCAGCCAGAGACGCCGGCTTTCATCTCTCCTGCCGGGCGCCGTCAGCGGGCTCCCGGCGCGGCCGCCATGATGACCGCTGTGCCAGAGGCGGCCGGAGGTGGCCGGAGGTGGCCGGAGGCGGCCGGAGGCGGCCGGCCTCAGCGGCGCAGGGCCCAGGCGGGAGGCTGAGAGCCCAGCAGGGGCTCTGCACCGCTTCTGACTCCGTCCCTTTGATCGTCTTCCTCCTCTCCTGCCTCTGCCTGTGTTTGAAGCTGCAAGCGCTGACCTTGGGGTCCCCCCTCACTTGCACTAGGACCCCGAGGGTCGTGACCCCGGGGGCACTCCTCTCCAGCGCAGGAGTGGGTTCTCAGCCCCTTCTTCAGAAGGGGAAACTGAGGCTCGACTGCCAACACCTTCCCTGAGACCGCACTGGAATCTCCAGGGGCAGGGTCTGAACTCGGATCAGAACCCAAAGCCGTCTTCAAAGCCCCTACAGGGGTTTGGCCCCCACTAGGGACGCAGACTCCCTCCCGGGGGTCCTTCCAAGACCGAGTTGTCGGACATGGGGAGATGCCCCGTGGGCCACTTGCTTGGCACGTGCTTTGCACGTGTGTCTGTGGGGCTCCCGGTCACTGTGCTGCTCCAGGCTAGTCTGTCTTCTCTGCTGAGCATTCTGGGGTACCCCCGGTGATGTCAGCAGGTGTTAGTGGTAGGTGGGGTCTCTTTCGGTTGCCAGGGACAGAAGTAACTCAAAATAATGCTTCCCCCAGCGCAGGAGTGGTGCATGTCTTGGAATTAGTGTGTTTGCATTCTTGGGTTAATACCCAGAAGTGGGGTCATGGGATCAGACGGTACCCCAGTC